CCCTTAGCCTCTCCCTGAGTTGGGGCGTCCCCCCATAGCTACCCTCCTTGGTCCAGGTGCTCACCCCATAGCTCCCCCCTCAGTGCTGGGCAGATCCCCCATAGTCACCCCAAGGGCCAGGTATCACCTCCAGGTCTAGGCATCTCCCCGTAACCATTTCCCAAAGGACTGGCAGCCCTCCTGAGCCTGGATATCCCCCTGTGCTCACCCCCCAAGGGCTGGGTGGCCCCCCCATGGCCACCCCAAGGGATAAGCAGCCCCCTCCCTAAGGCTTTAGCCACCCCAAGGGATGGGCATCCCCTCTTCAAGGGTCAGATGGCTCTTCCAAAGAACAGGTATCCCCCCCGATGCTTTTTCCCAAGAACAAACCATCCCCCCAAGAGTGGGGTGTTCCCCCACCCGCAGAGCCAGTTGCCCCCCCCAAGGGCCACGTATTCACCCAGGACCATGATGGGGGTCAGGAAGACACCTCACTCTTTGGAGATGCCCACAAGCCCCTCGAGGAGCCAAACCCAACACCCCAGAACGGGAGGCAAGGGGGACACAGACACCCCCCCCCTCCATGGGGCAGAGGGCTGGCAAAAGGGCAAGTGGTAAATGCCACCAATAATTTGTGGGATAATTAGGGGTAACCTGTTCATTTTACACCCTGCTCAGGTCTTTATTGGCCAGACTTGGTGCCGCTTCCACCGGGAACGACGCCCTGAGGAGCTGCTGAGGGCACCCAGGGAGGGGGGGAGTTGGTAAACCCATATGGGGCAGCAGCCACCCCATGTGCCTCCCCATCCCCACTGCCCACTCCAGTCCCCGTGGAGCAATGATGGTGATGCTCATCCTGGTGCCTCCTTAATGGCCAAAAATGGGAGAAACCCCCATAAATAAACCGAGTTCCTCGGGCAGCTCCTCCTCGCCCCCCGGCCATGGCCCCCGCCAGCCCGAGCCGCTGCCGCCGAGCTCTCCTGGGCCTTCGCGGCACGTAAAGGGTTTCTCTCTCGTCCAGCGATAGGCCTGTAGCATCTGGCGTGTCCCCAAATACAGAAGGGAAACGGCTATTCAGCACTTCTGCTGCCTGATTGCTATTAACAGCTCCCCCATTCCTCTTCCTCGGTGGACCCGCACTACCGCTGGGCAGCTGCTGCTTTTTATAAATGTAATTTAAAAAAAACGAAGTTCTCCTCCTCTGTGGCACTGCCGGTTCCCCCGGTTCTCCATCTACTTCCCATCTGTCACCATCAGTTTCCACCTGGGGCTCTCCTGCCCTGCGGACAAGGAAACACCATTGATGTCTTTGGAGAAGTTGTGGGATGGTCAACCAAGACCCGCTCGGTGTCTGCCAGGTCCCAAGGTTGACATCCCCCAGATTTGCCCCATCCTGGGGCACCAAGGATTTCCCAGTGCTCCAGGACTGGCTTCCCCAGCCCCATCCTGGCTCGCCCACGCTGTCTCCTGTGCCACACGAGCACCTCACAGGCCACGGCAGGATCATCCCTGGCTCCCTCGCCTGCTCTGCACCACACACCCCTCTCCCGCTGCCTCTGTGGTCCCTGGGGACCAGCTGCCCCCCACCAGGACCCACATGGTCACGGCCTGGTGACGTGAGCCCCAGGCGAGAGGGTGTGGGGCTCAGCAGGAGGGCGGCTGGTTTGGGGATCCCAAGCCCTGCAGGGGCGGGTGACAACCGCAGCGACAGGGACGGATCCTGCCACGCCAACGGGGACTGAAAACCCAACTGGAAAACGCCTGTGGGCAGGACGGACCTCAGCCTGCCCTTGCCCTGACGCCACAGCGATGGGCTCCCAGACAGCTCTCGGTGCCGTGGCGGGTCTACTACGAGCTGGGGGCTTTGGGTTTCCCTGTGGGACCCTTACTTCCCTTGGAGCCACCCAGGAGGGGACCGGGGACCCCACGGGCCACCGGGCCTTGGGGGAGCGGGGCCGGGGAGCCGGGGATCAGCTCGTGCGCAGGGAGACTTTGCTCGCTGCTTCTCGCTGACCGGCTGTTTTATATCAAGGCGGGAGGGGGGATTTGCTGTTCTAGATGGTATTTTAATGGGCAGGCAGGCAGCTGGAGCCTGGGAGAAGCCTGCTTTACATTGTTTGGGGTTGTAACAAATAAATTCAATTAAAGGCAAATGGCTCCGCGCGGCCCCCACCCTGCGCAGTGTCTCTGCGGCACCGGTGGCTGCGAGAGCCAGGGGTGTGAGGCGGGGGCCTGGGGCTTTGCCCCCGTGCCAGGGCCACCCGGGGACTGTGCCCACCCTCGCCCCCGCCGCAGGGGGATGCCGGGGCGAGCTGGTGGGATGTGGCGAGGAGCCGGAGGAGCCTGGGGCACCGCACCCACCGAGCGCCCGGAGAAGGGGTGGCGTGGCCGGGGAGCCCGCCCTTGTCCCTTGTCCCTGTACTGCGTGTCCCACCCCGTCGAGCAAAGGGGATGGGAAAATCCCGGCGGGCAGGAGCCACGCCGCAGCGGGCACTCCTCGGGGACGGGCAGCCCGGGACAACAGCCTCGGTGGGCAGCGGCATCCTCCAGGCCAGCAGAGGCCGGGCAGGGGCTAGGGTGTGGAGCCGGGGCTTTGCACGGCCGTTGATGCAGCCCCAGAGCCCTGCGGCCGGGGAGGAAAGCAGAGGGGACTTGGCGGGGACATGCCAGAGCCTCAGCACGCTGTAAACAGCCGCCGCCGCAGCAGCAACTCCTCTGCCGGGAGCCAGCGCCGGGCGTTTGTTAATTGGAAACCAGATGGTGCTCTCCCAAGCGCCGGCACAGGCCGCCCGGCAGCGGCCCCGAGCCAGGCGCAGGCTCCCAGGGACCCTGGGGATGTGCAGCACCCAGCGCCGGGACCCCTTTGGGGTGGCCGGAGAGGCGGAGGTGCAGGGAGGGCCCCCCTGGATGGATGGGCAGTGTCAGCGTGCCCCCTGCCCCCACTGGCATTGTGTGTGTCCCCAGGGATGACGTGTCCCAGAGGGATGACGTGTCCCAAAGGATGCTGTGTCCCGAGGGATGCTGTGTCCCAAAGGGATGCTGCGTCCCAAGCGGATACTGTGTCCCAAAGGGATGCTGTGTCCCAAAGGGATGCTGTGTCCCAAGAAGATACTGTGTCCCAAAGGCATGCTGTGTCCCAAGGGAGGCAGCATCCTCCAGCAGGGGATTAGAGACGGGACATTAACATCCCTTAAACCCCCCCTGTGTATACCTGTGTGACGCGCTGTGCCTCAGTTTCCCTGCGCCTCCCCAACAGTAGGAGGCTGAAGGGGGAGGGAAGAGAGGCTGGTCGCCAAGTCAGAGTCCACCTGGTCCCCCCAGATAGGGCTGAGATGGCAGGGAAGGGATTAAGTCCCATCTCTCCTAAACCAGGGAAAGCCCTGGGGAAGGAGCAGAGGGGTCCCTGCCACCTCCCACCTTGGATAATTCTCCATGGGACATGGCACAGGGGACACGGCAGCGGGGACATGACCAGTGAGCCCCCATCCCAGCATTGCCAGCAGGACCCGGGAGTCTGGGCTCTTCCCCAGCCCTCAACGGTCCTGGGGGCAGGTGCACCAAGGGGGGCATGGACAGACCCATCCCAGCCTGGGATTTTGGGGGGCCGCAGCAAGTGGACAAACAGAGTGGGGCCAGGGGAGAGGACGGCATCCCCGGCATCCATGGGGGGGTCCCGTGGTGTTTACAGAGCTTAAAAACCGCCTAAGCCCCGCAAGGCCACGGCGCACAATAGCGTGTGGACGTGGTGACACCGGCCGTCCCCACACCACCTTGGAAGACAGAGGGCCCTGCCACCCACCGCCAGCACTGGGATTAATTATGATAATGTAGTTCTTTCCCCCTTTGTCACCCTAATGAATGGGCCCCTTTAGGATTTTAAGGCCTTTGTTTGGTGCCTCTTTACTGCGGTATTGTAGGATGGGGACTAGCAGGTGGCAGGTCCCCAAACAGCTCCTTTTGTCTCCTTTGGGGGCTGTTTTGTGGTGGGGTTGGGGAGGGGGGTGCGAGGATGCGGGGAAGAAGCC